CATAATAATATTTTCCATCAAAATTTTTCTTCTGTTATACGACATTCGAGTGATTTGTCACGGCTTCGTAGGTGTATCAATATATGAATAAGTAATACATGTAATATTCTTTTTACAAAATATCATAAAATATTTATCTTTATTTTGGAACACCGTCATAATTTGTTTAGAACATCAAATCTTCGTAACATTTTGTTTTGAACATCCAATCCTCGTCGCAATTTGTTTTATGACAAAAACCTTCATCACAACATTTGCACGTCCCTGCATTGAACAGACCAAAATAGATATTCTGCCCATTGCAACACACTTGGGATCTTAACTCTTTCCTTCCTTCTTTCTTCACTGTTCTGCCTTTCCTTGGTCGTGCCGCCTGAGAAGCATGGCCAACACTTAAGGATCACTGTCCGTTATCACACGTTGTCGTTGACGGTGGCAGTCACATTTAACGTTCAGCATTTAGGAGATTGGCAACAACTGGTTTACCCGTTGTCGGTATAATGTGACCGGGCCGAATGCAGTACTTGGTGCCTTCGGCATGATATTTCATTGAGATAGCGCGGATCTGTACACTTACATACCCCGTCTCCTGCATACACACACAAATGCACGCAAACTCTAAGCTGTTAATAGTACCTTAAACAAAAACAAACTAAACCAGCTTTCCTGAAGTAGATCATCTGAGGACCGAAGGGTAATGTCCTCTGGCTGGAATCATCTGGCCAACTGGTTTCAAAGAGGGACTGAAACAATAATGCATTGTATCTATACGTCCCTGCAGGTAGGGCATACTAATTGTACCGGCTGCCCCCAATGATCGTAAGAGACGACTAAATTTGGAATCTTATCCTTTCTCTTCTTTCTAAACAACTTTCTTCTTCCTAATGTCTCCCTTGACAATGCCTCACTTTTGGCCTTTAGTTGAGCGTTCGCCCCTGTAAGGAAGGCTCTGGGTTCTGTCCCCTGGCCGAGACATACCAGAGTCTGTAAATATGGTAGTTTCTACTCCTGCTTAACGTCCATGCAGTAATTTGGGAGTAGGACGACTGGTTCGCCTGTTGTCGGTATAATGAGACCGGATGGGGTGTCCTGCTGGGTGTCTTCGGCTGTATGTTTCAGTGAGGGAGCACTATAAAGTTGGCATCAGTTCCGTACTATCACAAGGAGACAAAAACGAACATATCGCAGCCTCCTAAAACACACGCATACATCTTTCACACAGGGGAGGCCGTCCTTAAATGACCATTGCTGTTGATAGAACGTTTAACAATACTAAACCAAACCAAACCAAACTTTAGGACATAATAAATAATGCAATCGTCATATATAATACGTATGGGACATGGAATCGTCGCAAAATTTTGTTTTAGGATATGCAATTACACATTATTCAAAACATTTTGTTGTGTGGGTCATACAATCTTCGTAACAATTTGTTTTAGGACATGCAATCGTAACAAACATTTTGTTAAATACATAATAATGCAATCTCTGCAAAAAAAAAATGTTTGGGTCATCCAATCTTGGTAGCAATATGTTTAGGACATGCAATCATAGGAATTTGTTGGGGACATCCAATCTTTGCAGCAATATATTTAGGACATGCAATCATAGGAATTTGTTTGGGACATCCATCTTTGTAGCAATATGCTTAGGACATGCATTCATAGGAATTTGTTTGGGACATCCAATCTTTGTAGCAATATATTAAGGACATGCAATCATAGGAATTTGTTCGGGACATCCATCTTTGTAGCAATATGTTTAGGACATGCATTCATAGGAATTTGTTGGGGACATCCAATCTTTGCAGCAATATGTTTAGGACATGCTTTCATAGGAATTTGTTCGGGACATCCATCTTTGTAGCAATACATGTAGGACATGCAATCATATGAATTTGTTTGGGAAATCCAATCTTTGTAGCAATACATGTAGGACATGCAATCATGGGAATTTGTTTGGGACATCCAATCTTTGTAGCAATATATTAAGGACATGCATTCATATGAATTTGTTTGGGACATCCAATCTTTGTAGCAATAGGTTTAGGACATTCATTTATAGGAATTTGTTTGGGACATCCAATCTTTGTAGCAATAGGTTTAGGATATGCAATCATAGGAATTTGTTTGGGACATACAATCTTTGTAGCAATATATTTAGGACATGCATTCATAGGAATTTGTTTGGGACATACAATCTTTGTAGCAATATATTTAGGACATGCAATCATAGGAATTTGTTTGGGACATTCAATCTTTGTAGCAATATATTTAGGACATGCATTCATAGGAATTTGTTTGGGACATCCATCTTTGTAGCAATAGGTTTAGGACATTCATTTATAGGAATTTGTTTGGGACATCCAATCTTTGTAGCAATAGGTTTAGGATATGCAATCATAGGAATTTGTTTGGGACATTCAATCTTTGTAGCAATATATTAAGGACATGCATTCATATGAATTTGTTTGGGACCTCCAATCTTTGTAGCAATAGGTTTAGGATATGCAATCATAGGAATTTGTTTGGGACATTCAATCTTTGTAGCAATATATTAAGGACATGCAATCATATGAATTTGTTTGGGACATACAATCTTTGTAGCAATATATTTAGGACATGCAATCATAGGAATTTGTTTGGGACATACATTCTTTGTAGCAATATACTTAGGACATGCAATCATAGGAATTTGTTTGGGACATCTAATCTTTGTAGCAATATATTTAGGACATGCATTCATAGGAATTTGTTTGGGACATCCAATATTTGTAGCAATAGGTTTAGGACATGCAATCATAGGAATTTGTTTGGGACATCCAATCTTTGTATCAATATTTTTAGGACATGCAATCATAGGATCTTGCTAATCATGCAACCGGCATAACATTTTCTTTAGGACATAATAATGCAATCTTCGTAACAAATTTTGGGCTATACTGACTTCAAAACGCAATAATTTTACATCCTACGATAAAATGGAAAAGATACCAATAGAAAGAAAAAAATACAATTGATTATATAGACAGGCTTTTGTTTCATCTATTAAATGGAAGTGAAGAACGATTTGTAAATATATGTAAACAAAAAACACAATTTCATGTTTCTCATTCTTTTTATTTCAACTAACCTGAGAACGTCAACGAAACATTGCAGGAGATCAGAAACTAGCAAGTTTTGAAATGTTTTATACAAAAATAGAAATTCAAAATTATACTAGAATATGAATATGAATCTAAATATGAGAAAATAAATCACAATCTGGGTAAATAATCATACACTCACTAACACAGACATCAACACATCATCTAACTACTGTAATATAGCTCTCATATAAAATCAATCTACAGTCCTAAAAAATTGTATTTCTGATATAAACATTAATTATACACTCAATATCTTAATAAATAGGTTTTTTTTTGTATATGCGATACGACACAATTGCTCTAACCCATATCGGCCCCCTGCCGTATCACACCCCAAAACATAAGATAGTAGCTTTTATAAGTAAGTATGTAATAAACAGAATAANAAGTATGTAATAAACAGAATAAAACACGCCTTTTTCCTTATCACACCCAGTATCAACCCTCGACCAATATCAGCCCTCGGGTTGATACTGGGTGTGATATGGAAAAAGGCATGTATTATTCTCTATATATTTAAACTTTCAGGAAGATCAGTAGACATGTTTCATAAAACTGCGGAGCAATAGAATTTGCATGTTATGGTTGAAATGATTACTACCTATCCAGAAAACGAGTCCTCTTTGTAAATGGACTTGGTGACGCAGTTTTTAGTATGATATGATGAATATGTTATCATCAATAAATATATAACTCAATTTGGTCTATGCCCCTATTGACAAACTTATTCGTACAAAAAGTGATGACGTTGCACCGCAATCTTTGGCGCTGTAACACTCCTGTGAGATGTATATACAGATATCCCAACACAAAGATATAATTTGTAAGGTTTAACAGGAAGCTCTGCCCAGTGCTAAACTTCAAAAGTCATATCCCGAGGGTTTAAGATTTCTCTGTCTCTATCACGCAAGAAGAGTGGTTGGATATTTTTCTCTTGAATTTTCTAGCATAAAAATAATATGTTATATCACACAGTCCAAGCTGTTTTGCACAACAACATAATTGAACTTCATCGAAAAGTAAAATGTAAAGAATATCAAAATACATAAAAATGTCAATAGTCAATGTTTTGTAAAATAGGGGTCATTGTAAATGTATGTAGTTTTAAGTCTTTACTTTGCACCGGATTTCTTCTCGTGAACAGACAAAAATGGTGTAATTTAACAACAGTTAAATACATTGTAATACAAGGACTTACTGTATCACAGTTGGTTGAGCTGATAGATGGCACATATATTTCTACAGACAAAGATAGGACACCGACATAATATTATAACCGGGTATGAATCTAAATAGATATTGGTAAACAACAATATCAATTGAAACAGAATAATTATATGACATCCTTGTCTTATTCCCTCTCTTCAAACAAATTTCTCAAAAAATTAGATTAGGCTTAGAAAAGACCTTTTTGTAATTTTACCAGGAACAGTATACGACTCTTTCATGTCCAGGGGTGTAGGATAGGGACATCCCTCCCAATGGGTTTTCAAATTTGGTAAAACTCGAGGTTTTGCAGAGAGTTTTGCTAAATTTGAAAATCCCTCGGGTGGAATGTCCCTATCCTATACCGTTGGGAATGTAAGAGTTTTTTCTCTCATTCCAACCACCAGAATAAGCCCAGTAACCATGAAAATGCGTTTGGACTGGCCACCTTATTTGGACTGGCCACCTTTTTTAAAAATATCAACTTTTTGCCTGAGCTTTTTAGACGAAAACGAATCAGCCAGCCAGATTAAGCATATCCCATATTTGCAAACTGTGTTTGCGCAAAAAAAAATTAATCACATCTTTCTAACGTGTACGGTAAATATAAAGTAAAAGGTTTTAATTTCATCTGGTCGCCTTTTCCGCATTGCGGCATCAGAGAGTTCCAAATTTGTGACGTCACGTCATTGTTGAGCCATTAATTGTGACGTCACGTCAAGTGAAATTGGGTGTAGGAAAGAAATTTCCTACACCCCTTTCTTACCCTGGACAGCTCTATCTTACACACAGGGAAATGAGAGAATATACTTCCCCCATTCCCTAAAACCAGAGACATATAAAGCCATGTAGTTTATACGTCTCTGCTACAAATTATTTGAGAGTGGTCAGGCCTTGTATGTAGGTTTGGTAGGAACGATCTAACTGTTCATACACTTGGTATACCCTCCCCTAAAAATGTACTTTAAATACCTTTAATAGAGAGCGTACCAGTCTATTGTAATGTACAATGTCATTTATATCACATAGTCCAAATTGTAATGTACATAACGTTATCAGCAATGGCTGTAGATACCCCTTGATCCCCACAAAGAAATGCCCTGAGAACTATTAAAGAGTACTTTAATGTGCGACGAAAATAATTTAGGAGAGCAGAAAGCAAAGCTGGGATATATATTATCTAATTTATATAATGTTTAATGTATCACATATGTACTGTATACAACACAAACTGAAAATATATAATCTACTGAATCGCTAATATACTTCCTTACAAAACAAACCTGTGATCTATATTAAGACTTATCTACAAAAAAATTGCAATTAACGTTATTATGAATAATTCAGAACTATGCAGGAAGGTAACATATAACCTAAAGTATTGTGATTTAACAAAATATTGGATAAGAACTCCTTATTGGTTTCCTTATAGGCAAAAAGACAACAATCATTTCACCCATTACCAAACACAAACATTGATCACATTGAATTTACACAAAATGTATATATCACAATTTAAATATCTTACAATTACGTAAATAAGCAAGAAAAAGTAATATATAGGTGTGAGATAGGGAGAATATAGGAACGTGTTGTTGGGTGACGCCGAGCGACCAACCCAGAAAACACCATACTGCAATACATTGCTTGGAGATATGGAATATACATGTAGTTGATTATATTGTTGAATGACGCCCAGCAAACAACAAAGCCTGACAGAAAGTGCCATATTGCAATATACACATGTATGATGCAATTTTAACATTTCGCCCAGTGACACAGAGAGCCAGCAAGAAAACGCCAAACTGTAATAATAGTACCTTGGAGACAATTGCGTCAATGTTGGCCAGAGTTTTAGCTAACATATATTTAATGACCAGATTGGATTAATGTACTAAAAAGGTATATGTTGTAAATGTTGCTACTTTTCTGCTCCTGTAGCAAGTATACCTATTATGGGATGTAGCACAACTCAAGCCTAATTGATCAGCTAACCAAATAACATGCATCTTTTTTTCGTAACACATCACCATATTAACGGGTTGGTTCATCTCTTAGGAAACTTTCTCATTAATTTTCGCCTTGAATTATTCTAGGCCACCATTAAACTTTTACTTTTTTGACGTAACCTGACTGAGGATTTTAAGTTTGGGTAGGTTAAGTGGTAGGTAGGTCAAACTATTTTGTTTGTGTATCTTATAAAGAAAAATCATTAACTTTGAGAACCCTTATCAGTAGTCGGGACATGTTTACCTTGGTCAGTCATATTAAGCCATACATACCTACATTTTTATATATATCACAGTTATCACAATACAGTAGTCTCTTCAAATTCTCAATTATCATATGTCACGACATTTACACAGAGAACATCAATGCTTCATAATTAATATCAATCCATGCATGTTACGGTACGGAGGGAAAAATATTCATAAAATATATTTTTTTCAAGATTTTTTGTATATGCTGACAAGTTGGTTGCAGTGAAATCTTCTGGCCATTCCTACTGGATCATCTGAGTGTGGGACTATACAGTATGTGATTGAGTGTTATTGACTACGTGTTTGACACATAGCACTAAACAAGGTTGGCGTCCTTCGCCATGCTGTAAAATGCTGAAGATTTGTCTTTCAGTAAGTTATTTGGGCTGTCAAATTCTTTGATGAGTCCTTGATCTAATAACATGACCCTGGAAATATAAAACATAAACACCATTTAAGATTTATGACTGAATAAATAACCTACACCTGAGGGCATACAAGCAAAAAAGATCTGAAGTTAAATAACAATGACATCTGTCTAACAAGGACAGTTTTTGATAGAAATGATAAATTTGTTTGCTACAAGGATATTTTTTGTTTGAAACAATCAATTTAACCGTTTTAATATTTCTTTAAAACAATGATTTAATCGCTACATACACGGAATATTTTTAGAGCGTATTTGAAACATGTGTCTGATCTTATCCTTGTACTTTTTACAGTTTCCAAGGAGATCTCCCCTTTGTTCATACTTTTACCCTACTTTTATCGATTTTTAGTTCCAATTACGGTTTATTGAAGATTTTGGTTTTTTGGAGCTACTTCGGGAAAAAGAATTCTAAAGGTACCCTCGTTTTGATCTAGACTTACTTGTCATAGTCCATGATAGTGTTAAGCCTGTGGGCGATGGTGAGAATTGTACAGTCCTTAAACTCCGTCCTAATTGTGTTCTGTATCAGATCGTCTGTTTCCATGTCAACAGCAGCCGTAGCCTCGTCAAGGATGAGAATCTTAGTTTTCCTCAGCAGCGTCCTGGCTAGACACACCAATTGTCGCTGCCCAACGCTGGAGTGCAAGAAAAAAGATATAAAACACAGCCTATCCTCATAATAAGGAAACAAACACTAGAATTATCAGGATTTTTTATTTTAGGCAGAGCGCTTCAAGATTGTTTTACACATAAAACGGGAGGAATCAATCACAGCATGCTAAAGTTAGTTGGTACATAATTTATTTGGCCGACTCGTTCTGCCTTTGTGTGCTGGCTTCATCAGGATTGTTTTAAGATTTGCTTCACACCTATTGTAGCACAGGGACTTGACATGTTCCTATGACCCAGAATGAAAAACAATACCCCATGGTCCGACCCCCAGATCACTTATTATGTGATCTGGGGGTCGGACCATGGGGTATTTTTGTTCAGGTTAATCACAATTTACAATTTCAATTCGTTCAATAATGTCAATGGGCTTGACTTAGAACAGATTTTCCTAGTCATTAGAAAATAAATAAATAATGACACGAACAATCATAATTCAAGTTGAAAAAGAATTTTATATTATCTTATGACGATCAATTCTTAAATGGAAAATAATGATAATGTTAACATTTCATGATACCTTAGGCTATTGTGAAGTCATTTTGGTACTTTCAGTTGGCTCAGTTTTGAGGTAAATATTTTTTTCATATTGTTAGTATAAATTTCAAATATTGTCATAAAGCCAGATTTGTATCTAACAAGACAGACATTTAAATAAAAAATAAAATAAAAAATCCAGTTAAAAAGGAAAAACCTACCTCAGGTTTTCTCCCCCTTCCCCACATTCATGCATCAAACCATCAGGAAGTTCAGACACAAACTTCTTCAAGTGAGCATGCTCGATGGCCTTCCAAAGCTGGTTGTCTTGGTATATATTGAAGGGGTCAAGGTTCATCCTCAGGGAACCAGAGAACAAAACAGGGTCCTAAATAACAAAGCAATGGTGAAAACCATTTTACTTCTTCCCTTTATTGTCAGTGGTATATTCAGGAGCGTCATCGAGCATGAATCTTTTTATACTAAATTTTGAATATGAATCTCAAAATCTTGTTAAATGTAATAAATAGAGTCTAGAAGCATACCCTGTGGCAAATGCAGTTTTCATGAAAATCATTATACTGTTTAATTTTCAAACGATCGTGCAGAAACTGAATTATTTGATTATTCAGAATTCAGTCATAACAGCATTAATTATCACTTCTTATGCTTAATTTCGATGGCCATGTGTAACACCTAAAACACACATTCAATATGCATGGCGAAGTTCAAAGCATGGTCTATACAAGTTAGTTAAAAGTAAAAATTGTTAATGTGTTTTACAGTACTGTATAAAAAATTATATGAACAAAACATGGTTCCTGGCTAACCTGTGGGAGGATGGTCAGTTTTGACCGGAGATCATGGAGTCCCATGTTGGCGATACTCTGACCATCTATGACAATGGATCCACCAGCGGGTTCGATCAGGCGAAACAAAGCGACGGTTAGGGATGACTTACCGGCACCTGTCCTACCTACAATACCAACCTATAGCCAAAGAAAATGGGAGAACAGAATTGTAATAAACGAAAACTTGATTAAAATGTTTTAGCCAACTTTCTCCGGAATTTCTATACATCAACAATAAGACCAATTTTTTATCAAATAAATGAAGGAAAAATTAATAAATGTCATTAAAAAGACTGACCAATATAGTATCATTAGAAAAGATTTACTGAAGTTATATTTCTTTTCTGACAAACATCAATATTTTTTTTACGTTTTATTTTGTGAACGTTGGCAAGTTGGAAAGTTGAGCTTACTGGATTTTTCATGAGAAAATAATATCCCAAATATGTAATCATAAAACGGATATTGTGTGCTGACATTAAATATCTTAACATCAATTGTGTAATTATTTTGTAACTGAATGCGAAATACGGTATGTTGGGGACTTTTACCATGTACTTAAAATACATCTGACCTCGATAAACAACTTTGAAAATAGATATCTATAGACTCCGATTTAAAACTGACCTTTTCTCCGCCCTGAATTTCACAGGTTACGCCCCTCAATACAAGGTCAAGGCCCTCTCGGTACCGTGTTTTGTAGTCATTGAAACTAACATGACCAACTTGGGGCCAGTCGTGTGGAGGTCGTCTGAAGGGCATTACCCAGGGTGCCTCTGTTTGTATTTCGGCGTACTCCTGGACACGCTCCACCGACACGATGTTTGTTTCCAGGTTACTGGCCTGCTGTACTAACAGGTTTAAGGCTGACGTGATCTGAAAAGAAAGGTTTGGTGTACAAATATGATAAAGGCATTTTCTATGAAAGTATTTTAGCCCCTTACTACAATTAAACCTGCTTAAACTGATCTCCTTGTGGGACAACCTATTTATTCAATTAACCTCTCTAATCTGACACCATATGGAAAACAACAAATCGTTCAGCTTAACCTGTCTAATCAAACACCCTGTAGGAAAGAACACATTTGTCAGACATTAAGTTAGAATATGCACAGGTGTTAGTTAAGAATAATAATAATATTTCTTTTCAACAAGAAACTGAAAAATACCCTATCAAAATATTCAGGGTTCAATCAAGAAAGATTTCACTATGTATATGATAAATGTCTTTTAAAAACTCTTTTTTCTATCACTAAAATCAAAATAACTTAAAAAGAGCCCACCATTGTTTTAAGTTATATTTTTCAAATCACCACCTATAAGAATTTGTTTGATTTTAATACGGATCTATATATCCTTTATGCTTTTTAACATTCTTGTCAACTTTTTGAAATTTCAATGGGGGAGATTCTGCATGCTCAAAATTCAAACATAAATAAAATGTGTGTATACACTCCCTAGAGCCAAAATAACCCTTTAAAATGACATATTTGGAGTTGTTCTCTCAGATGAAATCATTAGATCTTAGAATATAGGCAAATTCACTGGTTGTAAACACTAATTAAAGGATAAAAAATTGGGAGTCTCCCTTCTAAATATATTTATATATAGTGCAGACTTTATATCACTTTTAACTGTAGAATATATGTAAATGAGCCATTTTTGGTGACTTTAAGCCGATTTCAGATTTGCTTTTGCTTTTTCAGTATAGATATAGTCCTCTTCATCAAGGAAAATATTTCTACTCTCAAAAATTTTTTTTTCTTTTTTTTTCTACAGTTTCATCTTCATAATTTTTATAACAATAGTTCTACAAGTTAGTAGTTTTTTTTATTCTTCAGCAATGATTCAGGTATTTTAAACAATTTTCTTGCCAGTAAAAATACCTTTTGACACTCAAAACTTTTGAATTATTTTTTGTTTTGCAGTTGTTTTATCTTCAGTTTTTTTTTTATATAAAGGTTCTGCAAGATATTTGTTTCATTTCAGAAATGATGTAATAAAACTATTTTCTTGCTAGTAAAAAAAAAAGTCTTCAATTCCTAATTAGAGTTTTCGGCAATGGTATGGGGATCTTTATTAGATTAAGGATATAGCACACAGAGAATGTAGCACACAGAGAATGTAGGACACGGAGATTGTAGCACACAGAGAATGTAGCACACAGAGATTGTAGCACAGAGAATGCAGCACAGAGATTGTAGCACACAGAGATTGTAGTACACATAGAATGTAGCACACAGAGAATGTAGCACACAGAGAATGTAGCGCACAGAGAATGTAGCACACAGAGAATGTAGGACACGGAGAATGTAGCACACAGAGATTGTAGCACAGAGAATGCAGCACAGAGATTGTAGCACACAGAGATTGTAGCACACAGAGAATGTAGCACACGGAGAGTGAAAGTAATAACACAATAATAACGTGTTTGACTTATAATTACATACCGATAGAGCATAGGATACAGAGAGGCCAACTGTTCCGCTACTGACATCATTGGAGAGAACAGCAAACAGGGCCGCTGCAAACACGATCAGATTGCCCACAAACTCCAGTCGAGTTCCTAACCACCTGTAACAAATAAAGAACACATGATTAGCTAATTCAGAGATAGAGGTGCACAGATTTGCATTATTTGTTCATGGGTTGTTTCTTTTTTTAATCAAGATTTTAGAGATTTTCTTATACGGAAAAAAATGTTTAATTAACAATATGTTGTTTACTGTTCTATAATATCAATATTTTTACTTGGAAAATACGAGATAATGGGCATTGTAATTTGTGACATCACATTTGTACTTTCAAATTCATTGTCCTAATGTTTTGGCAGGAAATAGACTATCATGTTCACTGCAGACCATAACACAAAGAATATTATAACAGAGTATTCTTGGCGTCTTGGGTTGAATTTTTTCACGTTGTACTGTATATACTCAAATTTCACCCCACTAGTGAATTGAATTAGTTATTGTTGTTGGCTCAATTTGCTGTTCATTTGGTGTTTCATTAAAATATAAAATCAGGTCCAAAACACAGCTTTGTAGGGAAACTTAAATGAACTATGGCCTGTCTTTACAGTATAGCAGGTTATTTACACGGGCATAAATCACGATTTTGACCCAAAATAAGAAAATTTAATTTATGTAGATTATAATTTCGTGATCTACATATTTGAGGGAATTTCATTTTTGTGGTGTTTTAGCACAGAATCAGGACACTCGTCATATAAAGTGTCAAATAGTCAAAGGAAAATTCTTGATAATCTATGATAGCATATTGAGCAACAATATGCGAGTGTATTTTGTTAAACAAATCATCAACAAACTATCAGATATGTTGTATAACCTACTCTCACACAACATTTCTATTTATGTATATGAACTAACATAACCACATGCATGCTAGTCCATGACAACATTACATTTATGAAGTTTATTATCACGGCTCATAATTTTTACGTTTTTGTCTTATTATTCTGTGATCATGTTATTGACCCGCGAAATCGCAAAAATATCATCCCCACCGAAATATTCTGCTATACGGTATCTGGTTACTAGCTATGAATGGCTTCCCAAGTCCGCTACAACCGTACCTATTGGACGATATCCTGGTGAAGTAAAACAGTATGTTTTTATCGACACGCTGAACAGACGTCTCTATAAATCTGTCCTGTTGCCCGTACGCTCGGATGGTAGCTGCTCCAGCAATAGTCTCACTGAAGTGATTGTATATGGGTGAGCGAGTTGTAGACTCAATTCTCTGTAACTGTCTAGATGTTGGTACATAGAAACGCTGAAATGAGACATGAAGATAGTCTAGGTCAAAACCTGCACGCAAACATCTTTCATATATTCACCTAAATGATCATAGAGGTCAAATTTTCAAAACAGCATTTTGAATGTGTTAATTCAATGTTTGTGATTAGGATCCCTGGCCCACATAATGCACTGTGTTTTTTCATATATACAGTAACCTCCCCTTAACTTCCGTTTGGAAACAACTGTAACACAGTTAGGGCAGGACACTTCTGTTGACTAGGAAGCTTAACTCATTCACCCCTGAAATTTCATAATGGACAATTCCAACCTTTGAATTGGAGGAGTTCAAATGTGTCTTCAGGGGTGAATGAGTTAATCTGTAAGAGAGATAATATGTAGCAACATGCAGTCCGGGGTTTGAATACCGGTCTAGCCCCTCTCAAGTTTTACACTCAAATACTATTGTTGATTAGATACCCTTACAGTAATATTGCTATTCGCCAGAACATGTTGCCAGAAGTGCACAGAATATCGCCACTAGCGGTTACATTCTGGTGATGTTCTGGCACACATTTCATATCGCCAGAATGTGGCCAGAATGTCGCCAGAAGTGCACCACAGATAAAATATTCTGGTGATGTTCTGGCAGACTATTCATATCACCAGAATGTCGCCGAAAGTGCACCACAGATACGGAATTCCCATGATCCTCTGTAACTTGTCTAAATATAGTTGACCCCCAAATTCAAAAATCACAAAATGGCTGATGAATGAAGGAGAGCTCATGGTGAAAGGAAAAGTTGGGTGAAATAAAGTGATAGCATTCTTGAGTCTGATAAGGTAATGTAGAATATCTTTTCTTCTATGTTTTTTAAAATCAATGGTCACAAAACATGTAAAATCTTAACTGAATTACTGTTGACAGTTGTGCATTTTCACACAACACGTACTGTATAAAGTTTAAATTGTGTCATACACAATTCTACTACCTATATTTAGCAGTGTAGTAAATCATTTCAAAATCTTGCTTTAGGTCTTGCTGTAATATTTGCACAGAAGTTCATGCTGCTTCTATAATATACAGAACTGTTTCTTATAAAACTGTTCATACGTATACATATACATTATATTACGTAAGTGATAACTACTATCAACGAATATCCCATTGTGAAATAATCCACATATATGTGTTGAACTTTGTAACCAATCTCTGATCATTATAAGATATGAATTATCTAAACTATATGTACTCCACAACCCTGTTGCAATATTGTCATATATTTGATTGTGGGAATCCCAATCATGAAGAGTGGGTGAGTCACAACATCACCAGAACCGACGTAGCCTGTGGTGATATCACCACAGGTTAAAATATGCAAATAGTCAAGAATGTATACATTTTATAATGTAGAAAAGATTAGGGATGTCAGAATATTTGAGACAAAAATTTTAAAGAAGTAAAACTGTTCAACATTAGCTTGCCAATCAACCTCTATGGAGCCCTGCAGTGCTGCAGATATCCCTCCACTGGGTTTACCAATGTGTGAGAGAGTTTTGATGGCGTCACGGCATAATGTCGTTTCGGTTGTTGAGATCAGATTTACAAAAAAATATTGTTTCAAACAAATTTACGTTTCCTCTGAACACTAAATAGTTTCTACCAGATGTAAAATGACACTTCGCGTCAGGTAACTTCCCAAACAGAACGTTGCAATTGGAGTTATTCCCCTTAGTAAGGTCCAAGCTAGAATTGGAGTTATTCCCCTTAGTAAGGTCCAAGCTATAGAGTTGCCAGTTTATGGCTTCGTGTCACATGTCGGAAGGACATTATTTAATGTGTGAGATGTATGGTTCACTTGGCATGAGACATGTTTCAGTATGATTAGGACTTCTCACAGTGTGAGATTTAGTCTCATGCCATGAGAATTGGCAACTCTGAATTAAGGATTTAGACTTAGAAATGAGTAGATACTTACTTAACATTGTCAAAATATTTCGGAGACATCCCAAGGATTGAGAAATGCTTAATGATGTAGAAATATTTATTGATAATAAATGTTTGAAGGATTCTGGGATACATGTATCGACAGATGCAGAAATGCCGAAAGATTTAAACTTAGAAAGGATCGATGAAACTTAAGGATGTAGAAATGTTATTAATTAAAGTAGAATAATTTTAATGATATGTCTAGCATTTAAATAACTTACCTGTGACAGGTAATATACGACAAAAAGTGGTATGATAACGCTGAGGAAGATCGGAGTACTGTACGTGATGACGATAAAAGTACCCAACGTCCCAAAAAACATCTGTATAAACATTCTTATGACGCCTGGTAGAAGAGAGTCTATTGTCTCAACGTCACGGGAAAATCTGTTCACAATTCGTCCAATAGGAGTCGTGTCGAAGAACGACATTGGTCCCTTCATTATGTTTTCTAGCATGCCCAGGTGAAGTTTTCCAGCCGCTCTGACTTGACACAATGATGCTAGTAGGGAGTACGCCATGACCAGGAGTGCTGTACAAAAATAACAAATATATCAATGAATCAGGCATTGGTAATGTAGGGAGTACACCATGACCAGGAATGCTGTACAAAAATAACAAATGTATCAATGAATCAGGCATTGGTAATGTAGGGAGTACGCCATGACCAGGAATGCTGTAAAAAAATAACAAATGTATCAATGAAACAGGCATTGTTAATGTAGGGAGTACACCATGACCAGGAATACTGTACAAAAATAACAAATGTATCATTTTACGCCTGATGAGTCTGAGGGTAAAATAAATGGCTGTTTTTATACGTTTTAAGTACCTAAGAACATGGATCTTGAAGAGTCATACTGTTAAAGATTTCAGAAATGTTGATCAATTTATATAGCTTTATAATTGTTGACATCAATGCAAGCAAATTTTACCAAATAATAGCAGAAAACTGTAGATTTTTGTTGAGTAGTTCATTTATTCCTCATTACTTAGGCTTCAAAAATGTTCTCCAGTTTCGTCTCTAGACCCTCCGGACAACAATTTTGACTTTTCCCAAAACTGACATGAAAAAACTAATATTAACTGTTAAATGAATACACTTTACCTTGTCCAATACCGAATGCAGCGTATCCTCCAAGATACATATAATTCTTGTTCTGGTACTCGGTCGTATTGGCATTGGTCTGGTTTGCAAGATCTTTGTCATCCGTCCAAAGACTCAGCCAGATGTTAGAGGTCAAACTAACACCCTGGTACGCGATGAACAAGATCAAGATGAATATCGTGGCGATAAGTCCGATGGCACGGGCGTATTTCATGAAAATTTGACGTTTGACAGCTCCCTCTTCTTTCTTTTCCTCTTGGATCAACACATCTTTTTCCTTGGTGATTTTGTCCGGTTTCTTGTCACATTTTCTATCCACTGCGGTGGAGATTGACCTAGCTAATTTAGGTTTGCTCTCAGAGGTTTTCCTGTAAAAATGTGGTAAATGCAAACAGTGAGATGAAAATTCTCAATTTCTGTGATAAACATTCTACAAGGTTGGAAAAAAATAGATACGGTTAATATATGTCCCAAACAATAACAAATCAGAATCAAGATGCCTGGCGTTCCATTTCCTGACTGAACGTGAAAAGGTATGGGGTCACATTCATCTGCCAGGTACTCTGGTTTCCTTTCGCATTATGACCACTTGCATGCTCCGATCCAGGCCAACAAAACTTCAGGCTTACTTTTTTTTTAGTATGGACTCAATGCTTATTTTCAACATTGGTCTATCTTTAAGGCAGCCTTATTTAGAAAGCCATCTAGAGTGTATAAGTCGTGTACGGCTTATGTGCATCATTAGACTGAAGACAGACAATAAATCGAGATGCAGGAGGAAATATTAATTTACAAATTAAAATTGAAAAGACCTGGGGGTTTCCTTGTCAGAAATCAAGAGGAGAAATGAGATTTCTACCTCGAATACAAGGCCTATATTTAAGGACAGAGTATTTTAAATACTTATTTTTGGAATAGGTTTGTCGGCAAGGAATTAAAAGCCAAGTAATTTCTAGGTCAGCCTATTTTGAATTCAGCTTGTTATCAAGATTTTAAGGTATTCCAGTGTTACAACAAACAATAAGTTACAAACTGACCTTTTTCTTGACCTGACCGTGGACTCGTCTCCAGACGTCGTTCCCGTATCAGAGGTCACCGATTCGAGCCTCTGTAGGATCTTATTTTTCACTTCTTGAACTAAACATAAAAAAAATGTTGTTTCTCTATTCCAAAGCAAATCATAATTTGAAAATTAATTCACTCAATACTGACACCTGTAATGCTTATCCACCATAGGATTGTGTCATTTATTTTCATATCCTTATTCATTCAAGCTAATTTATCCCAAAATAAAATCTTCTGAAAACTCCTTAATTCAAACCTCATTATGAATTTCAGCCAATTTCAAAGTTTAATAATAACTGCAAGTACATCTTCAAGACTCATCATAAACTTTGTTAATGTTGAAACTTTTGTATTATCCGGACTCTATCAAGGTCATGCTGCACACAAACGAATAGCAATTAAGATCCCATCTATTCTATCTGAAAAAGGAAAGCTAAAAAACTTTTTTTTTAATTTTTACTTTCAGGATCTTCATCGTCAACTTCATCGTTGTTGTCCTGCGTGAGATATATCTTGAGGAATTGAGCAAAAGCACCGTCGTGGTCAAGCAGTTCTTCGTACGACCCCATCTCGGACACGTGGCCGTCGACCAGTACCACGATTGAGTCCACCATGGGTAGCCAGTGGATGCCGTGTGTCACCAGAAGTCGCGTCTGAGGACAAATATGATTAACTGTATATTTTGTGTATTTCTCTACACATTTTCTTCAGGTTGGTAATTATGGATTGTGAAAAGACTCATGTAGCACAACCAAAAAGTGTTTATATGTGACGTTTTGATGACTAGTACGGTATGTATTCTTTCACCTTCATCAGACAATCCGTACTTAATAAATCGGCAATCACATAAAAATTATGTGATTGACTGGGATAGCTACAAGGTACTGGACAGAGAGAGCAATCTGTTTAAGTGACAGATAAAGGAAGCCATCTGGATATGCCTCAGTGGGTCAGTTCTAAATCGAGATGAGGGGGCTTATATACTCTCGCACATCTATGACCAAGTCTTAAACAAAGAGTAGCTGAATCAAGTTATTTTGGTACATATAAAACAACTTATTGTACATACACTTACAGCGTAGCCGAATTGACATCAATTTGTGGTCAAATTGTACATATTTTACACCTCTGTAATCATACGCTTCACCGGTCATTTGTCTGATGGAGGTGACAGAGTACATACCGTACTAGTCATCGAAACGGCACATATAAACCCTTTTTGGTTGTGCTTCATTGATCTTTTCAGTGTGCATTTTACGCATTATACGAAAATGAATTTTCACAATACAGTGTAACCTGTCTAAATGAAATCATTAAGACACTGTAGGGACACAACATATTGGTCAGATCGACCTGGGTAATCCGACACAAGGAAGTGACATAGTCATTTTCAGAAAAAACCCAGTTGCTATTACATGGTGAAAAGAGTATTAATACTTGAAAGGTGGGGTTCCAACTAATGTTGAATTTCCCATAGAACCACTCACACCCGGATTTCTTTCAAACTTTGCATGTTTGTAGTACATGTACTATAAATGGCAATACAAAATATATATACCCTGGAATTTTCATCTTTTAGATTAAAAGGGCCCAAAGGGCCCACATGTTCAGTGAACTGACCATATGTCAAAACATGCGTCAATGACATGTTTTTGTACCACCTTTTTCATAAATTCTTATTTTGTTACCTTCCTGAAACATTATTTATTCTTTTTTTTATAAAATTTGTGTAGTTATATTGGTATACAGATAGTTTAAAGGGAAAAATAGTGGATTTTTTACATTTCCAAAACCTATTGCCAAAAAATATAAAAATTTGGTATGATATAAGTTTTGTCCACCATTTTGATTTACCTAAAATTAGCTTTAATATGTGTTCTATCACCAGGTAAAATTTGAAAAGAATTGAAAACAGGAAAAATAGTTTCGAACTACTAAACGCTAATGGTGCAACATTTTGGATTTGAGAAAAGTGCCTCCAGTTCACAAAAAAACCCTTAAAGGGGTAATTAATGCACAGCATAGTTACATAATTGTTTGATCATTATAAGGTGTATATATAGTTTGATGTTAATTTTAGAAAACATTATAATTCTATAATGCAGAAATAGCCTGAACAATATGTTTTTTTCTTTATTTTTTATCAAATCTTAATATTTGTTGTTTTTCCAGCATTCGAATAATACTTGTCAATGAATATACTTAAATAATACTTGATTGCAAAATTGTTCTCATAGAGCATGAGAAAAATCATGCCGTCACATCAAAAAGTTCAGCATAATAATGTATCAACCCTCAATAAGCCAATGTCTCTTTATTTTGCAAGTCAATATCCAAACGTGTTATCAATAGTTGTTCAATAGGGACTAAAATAACAACTATATTGGCCTTTGTTGAACATGAAAACATATTAAGTAATGACACATATGAGTAAAACCTGGTGTTATTTCCTCATTGTGTCTGGACACGTATGAAACAAATAAAGAAAGGCCAGAAGCGCACCCTTGCCAATGTCTACACTTTATGTTTAATATGCATAATAATAAGGCTGGTACTAAATTAATGAACACCTGAATATTGAAATACCATATACCTTAGGCAAAGCTGACAACAAAAGACATAGTCAACTAGTGTATATGTAAATGTAATTCATATAACACATTTTATGCAGAACTATTATTTTATGGCTGAAACACAGTTTCCTTTTAGGGTCACCCAAACCAGGCAGGTTAATGGATAGAGACCAGACAACTGGTTATCCACACACAAATATCGGCAAACTTACAAAATATTGTATTATTATTTACGTTAATGGTTAAACTTTTTTATGTGAATACTTCCAACACTGTTGCATTATGGCCTATTACCAGGTATGGTCTTATCCATATCATACAAAAAATTAATTAATACTAAATTACCTCTTTCTATTATTACATGTATATTATATTATATTCGCATAAAACATTATTTTTAAGTACGTGTAGATTCTAAAGGTCTATTTTTCATTAAAATGACTTTAAGAATGTTTGACATCATATTACCTTTGTTCATAATGCTAGAAAAATATTTTCCCAAAAATTTGATTTTTTCTGAAATTACTTGTGTGTACAGAGCTAGGATACATATAAACTATTTTTGAAATGGTTTTAAATGGTGGACAAAGGCTATGACATAATGGTGTGATGACCTAAACTTCAAAATTGAGATTTGATAAATTAAAAATTACTTCATTTTTCACCCCCAAGTTGACTTGTGAGTAAAGTTATCATTCCAAAATGATTTTTATTGATGTGGAAATGAAGTTACAAATGTCTTCAACAAATCTGAGAGAAAAATATGTCCCAAAATGTAGACAAGGGGTATCTTTGCAGCACTTAAAGATATGTAAGTGTAAACAAGCAAATTCGTGGAATTCATATCCCCCGCTTTCAGGACATATTGTTGGTAAACATTATTGTGGTTACGTTTAAACATTTGAGTATCGTGCTGTTGAGACATAATATATAGCTTGAAACTTGAAGAAAAAAAGGCTTATCTAATATTTGCTAGATTTAATAAGCGGAAACTGCAGGTAATGACTATGCCAAATGGAGTCCCATTAAAGTGGTTGTCAAACTTGGCCGAGAGCTTGTTGAACCCTGTTTCTAAGTTTGAAGACAATTGGATACTATTTGTGAGAGTTAATGAACAGAAATGGTCATCAAACTTGGTCAAGCCCTTAAGACATTTAACCCTGGTACTAAGTATGATGAAAATCGGTTAGCATTTGTTGTAGTTATTGCACGGAAATGAAGCTTGATAGACAGACAGACGGACAAACCCAAATTAATATCCCCGGTTTTTAGCATAAAAAGTGAACTACAGGCCCTGTGGACCTTTTACATTTCACAACTGGAAAAGGAATGACATATTCAGGTATGTTTTAGTGTACTCTAAAATATTGCAAAGTTTTAAAAAAATCGGAGGGTGGGTGATTTTTCGAATCCCACCTTTTACCCTTGAAATAGGAAAACAAAGTTATCATACTCTGAATAAATATGATCTGTAAAAGGAGGCCCAACGTATATATATACGTATCTGCATTGTTCACATTGCATTAATCTCCCATTCATAACCTTGGAAGTGGATTAAAATAAAGCTACAGGCAAAATATCAGTTATATTACTCAAAAGTCATTCAAAAGAACCTGTTCAATGATTTTAACACATTTGACCCCTGTGACCTTGAATGTCTAACAAAGTCATTCACTTTAACACAATTTATAGCTTTTCATCCCAGCATGCCACTTGCCAAAAATAACCTTCCCAAATCTTTTGTTTATCGAGATGAGGTCATTAAAAGGTTTATACACATTTGACCATGTGACCTTGAAAGTGTGTCAGGTGAGATATAAATGATTACAATATCTACCCTAGCTGTTCTTATTAATGAGCTAAATGCAGATATTAAAATATTCAGAACCACTTATGATTTTTCAGGTTTCACTAGAATCTTACCTTATTTCGCAGTAATCCCTTGCTTCCGATAACTTCCTGGAAAATATGTTTGCCGACGTGGGAGTCTACAGCACTGAGTGGGTCGTCTAGTAGGTAGATATCTGCGTTGTTGTATACAGCCCTGGCCAGGCTCACTCTCTGTTTCTGACCACCACTCAGGTTTATACCCTAAAAATAGAGATAAATGTAATTTCCTTTCCTTATTTTTTTCAAAACAAAGTGTATAGGTCATGTATAGTTGTGAACCCATTCGTTTTATGTTAAAAGGACAACATATCTTCCACCAGAAAATTCCTCCCTTTATACTAGGACCACTTATTCTGTCAGCAAATAGTCTGTTCCTAACTCCCAACAATACATTAAACAAAGCTGGTCCCACTTTTCTCCGACCACATATAAATTTATCCATCAAATAAAAAGACCACCACCACTTTACTCACCTCATAAGGCCACTCACAAATTCTTCCCAAAACTGTAAGGCCACTGCTACTTTCCCCCTATCATAATTAAAGGACCTCTTCCTCATACATCACAAAGCCCCCTCCCCCCCACACACTTCCCACAAAAACAACAAATTTCAAGCCACACCCATTTCCCCCAAACATTAAAAGGCCACTCCCATTCCCCGACCCATCATAAAATCACCACTCCAATACTTCCCTATTACAAAAATATTTTGCTCCCATTACCCCCTACCTCCATTCCCATCATAAAAAGGCCACTCCCACTTTTCCTCTGTCATATAAAAGCTCTTCTACTCTTCCCCTGAAAAAATAAAACTCTCACTCCAATACTTAACAAATACAGTATTTGAGTGCGAGAGAGTTCCTATAACATTTTAGTAGTTACTAATTATAATACTACCTTTTCTCCAATCTCCGTCATGTCTCCTGCCGTAAGGATCTCAAGATCAGGACGAAGGGCACACGCATCAAGGACATCGTCGTATGTACACTGGTTCATTTCCGAACCAAACAGGATGTTGTCCTGCACTGTTGCATTCTGTATCCAAGCTTGCTGCGGGACATATGCTACAGAACCCTGTTAGATTGACCAAACTAATGTTACGTATTTTACCTAATACACACCCTTTAGACAAACTAATGTTACGTATTTTACCTAAGACACACCCTCTAGACAAACCCAATGTTACGTATTTTACCTAATACACACCCTCTAGACAAACCAATGTTACATATTTTACCTAATACACACCCTCTAGACAAACCAATGTTACGTATTTTACCTAATACACACCCCCTAGACAAACTAATGTTACGTATTTTACCTAATACACACCCTCTAGACAAACTAATGTTACATATTTTACTTAATACACACCCTCTAGACAAACCAATGTTACATATTTTACCTAATACACACCCTCTAGACAAACCAATGTTTCATATTTTACCTAAAACACACCCTCTAGACAAACTAATGTTACGTATTTTACCTAATACACACCCTCTAGACAAACTAATGTTACATATTTTACCTAATACACACCCTCTAGACAAACCAATGTTACATATTTTACCTAATACACACCCTCTAGACAAACCAATGTTTCATATTTTACCTAAAACACACCCTCTAGACAAACTAATGTTACGTATTTTACCTAATACACACCCTCTAGACAAACTAATGTTACATATTTTACCTAATACACACCCTCTAGACAAACCAATGTTACATACTTTACCTAAAACACACCCTCTAGACTAACTAATGTTACGTATTTTACCTAATACACACCCTCTAGACAAACCAATGTTACATACTTTACCTAATACACACCCTCTAGACTTACCAATGTTACATACTTTACCTAATACACACCCTCTAGACTTACCAATGTTACGTACTTTACCTAATACACACCCTCTAGACTTACCAGTTTGGGGAAATTATAAAGTAAGAGTCTTCCAAAATCCTCCAAACAATTATAGCCATAATAGACACTTTTTTCAAGATGGTAAAATTTTGCTGAAGGGATGAGACTACGAACTCACCGGGGTTTTCTGATACTTGACTGTTGTGTAAATTTTTATGAAAATCTGATAAGGAATGAAATGAGAAGATCTAGAGCCGTGAAAATGAATCGTGATGAGATGGGATGCATTACTGCTTTTAGCATTGTCTTCCACCACCACACATGGTCATTTTATACTTCGTGGGACAAGTTTTGTCAGGGATATTCAACCTTGACCTTCCTGAGCTACTGACCTTGACATTAACATGTCCCTGGAGCTTTTCCATGTCTCCAAGAATGGAAGACACTAGTGAGGATTTGCCGGAACCGACCTGTCCGACTACCGCAACCAACTTGCCCACACCAACAGAGACGTCAATGCTGAAACACAAACAAAATGCCTCATGAAATTACTGATTTGGCTGTTCAAAAATCAATGGTCAGGCGGCACAGTGGATAGCCCACTCGCCTTTCACCAAGGTGGCTTGGACTTGATTCCCTAATCAAACATGAAAAGGTATAGGGTTACCTGCCACTAGACCATGTAGGTTTTCTCCGAGTACTCCAGTTTCCTCCCACATTAAGACCCTCCACCAACCAGGCCAACAGGAGTGATTAATATACGTTGATATAACTTATTTCATGGTCATTGCAAAATATATAAAGTTTTAGTAAAAACAATCACAACCAGAACTACCTCAATTGCCCTGGCCTCAGTACTCGACTGGGTTTACAGCAGGAACCTGATTCTCCTATGTATGATTGTTTACCTTGAAATTCAAAGTAACAAGAAAGTAAGTTAAATCTGGGTAATGGAATGGCTTTACTGGGCCAGTTGAACCCCATTAAAAGTTGGACAAATCAAATATAATCTAGACGTAAATGTTCATAAAGCATGCTTACCCCCTTAAGGCTGGTTGTAGTTTGTCGTCCCAGCTGAAAGTTCCACTCTTTATAGTAATTGCATCAGGATCTTTAGAAAAATAAAACCAACATTTAATACGTTAATGATACAGATTCCCAATAAATACGAGTCTACACAACTAGATGGTTACATGTCATATTTCAAACAGCAAGAAGGAGTTATTATGCAAGACTGACAAAAGGCATATACTGATATGCATCTTGTATTATCAAGAACAGATTTTATTTGAATTGTAATAGGAGAGGAAAAATGCTCGGCCAGACTGGGGTTTGAACCTGGGACCCTCTGAACTCTAGACGGACGCTCTACCAATAGAGTTACCCGATCTCTGACGATCGACCCAGTCCACTAACGCTACATTGCTCCCTCCATTTTCCAAGCCTTCAACCCCGAAGAAACAACTATTTACAACCCCGGTTCCCCCTCGCCAAGCCTTCACCTAGTACTTGAAACAAGGGTTGGTCACAGGCACCAAATGTAATAGGAAAGGAAAAATGTGCAGCCAGACTGGGGTTCGAACCCAGGACTCTCTGAGCCCTACCAACTGAGTTACCTAGTCCCCGACGATCGAACCCCGTCTAGTTCCGCTACTCTATATATTTGTTACCCTTTTTTTTCTTTAACACTACAGGTAAAAGTGTTCAGGGTATTTACCTGTTCTATTGTGTTGTACATTCTCAGGGTCCAGATCACCCATCTTCAGGAAATCAGCAATTCTACCAATGGACACATTTGCCTTAAAAACAAAAACAAAAAACAAAAAATGTTTGGAAAGGTCCAAATTACAAATTAGGAGGGAAGTATGAGGGTAAGTACAAGTTAACAATCCTGGATTAAAATTTGAAAAAATTTGAAACAGAAGTCAACAAAGTACAGTCTGCTTTTAAATTAGATCTATAAAATATATATAATATCTTGTGTACATCCTTCCCCAAAACTTTCTTATTCATTAAATCAAGATAGTTCAACAACAAAACATATTTCAAAGAAAGTATAAACAGGGAGAGCAGTTTCACCAACATGTTTATCTATTGAAGTTTTCAACACTGATTTAGTATTTAAGAATTCCCTGATACCACTGTCAAAATCTGTAACTAAAACCAAATTCAAGGGAGGAACTCTTTAGTGTTTATTAGTCTGCAGTGGGACAGGGGCCCTTAATGGATTAAATATTAATTGTCATACATCTTTAACTCATTCACCCCTGAAGACACATTTTAACTCCTCTAATTCAAAGGTTGGAATGGTTCATTATGAAATTTGAGGGGTAAATGAGTAAAGCCCGATAACATTATATTATCTAGACAACATAGAACACTTCACAGGTGAGTCCTTACCTGTACGATGTAGGAGACCATCATGGGGAGGAGGTTGATGGGAAATCGTAAAATGTTAAAGAGTGATAAGGAAACAAATGCCTTGCCAGCATCTAGGTAGTGGGCGTCAGATGTCAAAATGTATGTTGCAAATGTTGCTAAGGTCACCTAAAATCAAACAATGTTAAAAACTTAATTGTTATTTGTGTTTAAATACAAGTATATATAACATTTTAATTAATAAAACTCTTAGATTGATTTAATTGAGTATAAAGGGCACAAACAAGATATCAGAGTAATAGGGCTGCAATGATATATGGTGCGATGATATATTGCGATATTTTGAATACGGTACGATACCAATATTTTTAGTGAAATCATGATACACCAACGATATTTTCAGAATTTTGTTGTTTCTGAATTAAGTCTACTCATATCCCTTCCAACATAGCTTAGCAGGTCGGTCGAAAGACATGAATTGTATGAAACTTTTAAGACATGCCCATTTTGGATCAAGTCTTTATCCAGTTGTGATATTGTCATTAAAAAATTGCAACAATATCTTTTTGCTTCGCTTCTACTGTTACTATATGTATCGTGATATGTATCGTATCATGACCACAATATCGTGATATGTATTGTATCATGACCAAAGTATCGTGATACGTATCGTATCATGACCAAAGTATCGTGATACGTATCGTATCATGACCAAAGTATCGTGATACGTATCGTATCATGACCA